GGTGAAGAGGAAGCCTCAGCATCCAAGATTCTCCTTCAAAGGGGTGGAAGAAAGAGTGTTTACTTCGTTCCAACCAGAGATACAAACCCTAGGAAACCATAAAGCTTATATATTATTCGTAAATTACAGAAAATTAGGTCCAAGCCCATTAAAGTGCCGCTCAGCGGTAAAATACCGCTCAGCGGTAAGTGCGTGTCACGTTTCTTCCCCTCAGCGGCCATTTTGCCCCTCAGCGGTCCTCTCGTGAGCTCCTGAGTGCCGCTCAGCGGTAAACTGCCATTGAGCGGTGACTTCGGCTTCTCCTTTTGCACTTTTTGATGTCTTTTCTGATTCCATATCTCTCCTTCTTCACTTCTTTCACCAAATTCACCTTAAAACCCGCACAAAAACACTGAAATCAAGCATAAACCTATCCAGCTCTCTTATTTATGAAAATATGAAGAAAAGCATGATTTGAAGCTAGTTTCTAAGTATAAAGGTTGCTTTTAGTATCAATTTTAAGCATGAAAATAACAGTTTTTCAACTGTTATCAACGGTCGGGGACAAACATCTCTTAACCCTTTATAACAGCTCCTATAAGGACTTTAAGAATCACTTCTTTAAAGTCGTGCCGACGGAGACCGGATACCAGAGCTTCTGCTTTTCGGCCCAAGAGGCCAAGTTTCCTTTTTACTGGACCCGAGATCCCCGTAAGGTCCTTTCCTGGCCTAAGCCCAAGATGGCCCCCGAGGACCTGGACTTGATCAACCAGCTTTGTCAGCTGCCCCCCAATTCCTCGTTCCGTGTTCTGATCGGTTTCCTAGGCAGCAAAAACCTGCCCTCTAATGTGTTTGGTAAGCTACTCTTGACCGCCTTCTATTGAGCAGCCATTTGAACTTATCTGAATTTTCTTTTGTCTTGCAGATTATCTGTCCAAGATGGATCCCTCAAAGAACAGCACCTTCGCCCGCCTGTTCGCTCAGAGGGGGGCGAAGTAAGGAAACCGGGCGGGAGCTCATCCCCTACCCCGTCCACCGTCGCTCGGCCTGCCACTCCCCATCCAGTGCAACAAGCTTCCAGTCCTCCACCGCCGGTCGAGACTGTGGCCGAGCAAGCTCCTCGCGAGTCCCCCCCGAAGAAGAAGGGGAAACGAAAGGCCGCACGGGAGACTTCGGCCGAGTCTAAACACGCTAAGAGGAGTTTGCCCGACGGGCCTCCTCTCCCTAGTCTGCTGAGTCCAAACTCATGGGTGGCCAAGTGCATCCACTTCGACCTGTTCGCTGAGGAACAAACCCTGGTCAGTGCGATGACCGAAGAAGAGGCCTCTAGTATGGCACTGGAGTTGACCGCGCGGTCGGCTATGTGTTTGTCTTATGCCGCCCAGAAGAGAGCCTCCGCTTCAGCCGAACTTCAAGCTCTTCAAGAGAAGTTTGACTCCACCTTCAAGACCAACCAGGATCTTACCGTTCGGCTGGCCGAGACTGAGCGGATAGCAGCAGAAGACAAGAAAAAAGCTAGCACTCTGTTGGCCGAGGCTCGCACTACTCAGCGCCGTATGCAACGGTCTCTGGACGATGCTAAACTTGACCTCCAGAAAGCCAACTTCTTCCCTCACGAAGATGACGGCCGAGCGGGACTCTCTCCAGGATCGGGTGACAAAGTTGGAGGCCGAAAATAAGCTTCTGGGCGATGAGGTGGTAAACGAGCATGTGCTCGAATTTGACAAGGCCCTCGCCCAATGCAACCTTCTCTTTCAAGTGCCTACCGACGATCCTCGCTTGGATGTCAGCATGATGGTGGTGGATAAGCAACTAGTTCCCATCCACATTCCCCCATCCTCTTCTCCAGTTGCTCAAAATGCTGACCCTGTCGTCGAGGTGGTTGACAAGACCGGTGAAGCTGCAGGCCAATCCTAAGTGTTTAGACTTAGGATTTTACCGCTTTAGAAATTCACTTGTAACAAATGTTGACCGTTAATGAAAAATTCACGTTTCATTTGCCCTTTTGCTTTCTCTGCGTTTATTGCACTTTCCTGCTGCACTTGTCTTTTCGCGCATAGCTTTTTGTTTCATGTTTGGTTCACCTCATAAGGGTTCCGCTCGGTTTAGGTCTTAGGAACTCTCTAGAAGCGTGCCCTAAGACCAAGGTGAGAGTTCACGAAAGAAATCTGCCTCACCCGCTCGGTTTAGGTCTTAGGAGCTCTCTAGAAGCGTGCCCTAAGACCAAGGTGAGAGTTCACGAAAGAAATCTGCCTCACCCGCTCGGTTTAGGTCTTAGGAGCTCTCTAGAAGCGTGCCCTAAGACCAAGGTGAGAGTTCACGAAAGAAATCTGCCTCACCCGCTCGGTTTAGGTCTTAGGAGCTCTCTAGAAGCGTGCCCTAAGACCAAGGTGAGAGTTCACGAAAGAAATCTGCCTCACCCGCTCGGTTTAGGTCTTAGGAGCTCTCTAGAAGCGTGCCCTAAGACCAAGGTGAGAGTTCACGAAAGAAATCTGCCTCACCCGCTCGGTTTAGGTCTTAGGAGCTCTCTAGAAGCGTGCCCTAAGACCAAGGTGAGAGTTCACGAAAGAAATCTGCCTCACCCGCTCGGTTTAGGTCTTAGGAGCTCTCTAGAAGCGTGCCCTAAGACCAAGGTGAGAGTTCACGAAAGAAATCTGCCTCACCCGCTCGGTTTAGGTCTTAGGAGCTCTCTAGAAGCGTGCCCTAAGACCAAGGTGAGAGTTCACGAAAGAAATCTGCCTCACCCGCTCGGTTTAGGTCTTAGGAGCTCTCTAGAAGCGTGCCCTAAGACCAAGGTGAGAGTTCACGAAAGAAATCTGCCTCACCCGCTCGGTTTAGGTCTTAGGAGCTCTCTAGAAGCGTGCCCTAAGACCAAGGTGAGAGTTCACGAAAGAAATCTGCCTCACCCGCTCGGTTTAGGTCTTAGGAGCTCTCTAGAAGCGTGCCCTAAGACCAAGGTGAGAGTTCACGAAAGAAATCTGCCTCACCCGCTCGGTTTAGGTCTTAGGAGCTCTCTAGAAGCGTGCCCTAAGACCAAGGTGAGAGTTCACGAAAGAAATCTGCCTCACCCGCTCGGTTTAGGTCTTAGGAGCTCTCTAGAAGCGTGCCCTAAGACCAAGGTGAGAGTTCACGAAAGAAATCTGCCTCACCCGCTCGGTTTAGGTCTTAGGAGCTCTCTAGAAGCGTGCCCTAAGACCAAGGTGAGAGTTCACGAAAGAAATCTGCCTCACCCGCTCGGTTTAGGTCTTAGGAGCTCTCTAGAAGCGTGCCCTAAGACCAAGGTGAGAGTTCACGAAAGAAATCTGCCTCACCCGCTCGGTTTAGGTCTTAGGAGCTCTCTAGAAGCGTGCCCTAAGACCAAGGTGAGAGTTCACGAAAGAAATCTGCCTCACCCGCTCGGTTTAGGTCTTAGGAGCTCTCTAGAAGCGTGCCCTAAGACCAAGGTGAGAGTTCACGAAAGAAATCTGCCTCACCCGCTCGGTTTAGGTCTTAGGAGCTCTCTAGAAGCGTGCCCTAAGACCAAGGTGAGAGTTCACGAAAGAAATCTGCCTCACCCGCTCGGTTTAGGTCTTAGGAGCTCTCTAGAAGCGTGCCCTAAGACCAAGGTGAGAGTTCACGAAAGAAATCTGCCTCACCCGCTCGGTTTAGGTCTTAGGAGCTCTCTAGAAGCGTGCCCTAAGACCAAGGTGAGAGTTCACGAAAGAAATCTGCCTCACCCGCTCGGTTTAGGTCTTAGGAGCTCTCTAGAAGCGTGCCCTAAGACCAAGGTGAGAGTTCACGAAAGAAATCTGCCTCACCCGCTCGGTTTAGGTCTTAGGAGCTCTCTAGAAGCGTGCCCTAAGACCAAGGTGAGAGTTCACGAAAGAAATCTGCCTCACCCGCTCGGTTTAGGTCTTAGGAGCTCTCTAGAAGCGTGCCCTAAGACCAAGGTGAGAGTTCACGAAAGAAATCTGCCTCACCCGCTCGGTTTAGGTCTTAGGAGCTCTCTAGAAGCGTGCCCTAAGACCAAGGTGATTGTTCACGAGAGAAATCTGCCTCACCCGCTCGGCTGTTAACACATGACGAGAATTTCGTGATAAACAATGTATTATTGATATGAAATAATAAGTACAAAGCTCTTACCTGAAATAAAATTTTAAATGAGACGCGTTCCACGTATTGGGTATAGCCTTTTTGTAAATTCTCTACAACCCTGAAGGGGCCCTCCCAATTTGCAGCTAATTTTCTCGTCGATCGGTTTCGTCGGGCTTCTGCTGTTTTTCTCCACACAAGATCTCCTTCAGTAAATTGTCATGGCTTGACCTTGGTGTTGTAGCGCCTCGCCAATAGTCTCTTTTTAGCCTTCGCTCGGATCATAGCCACCTCTCTTCGCTCGTCCAAAGTGTCAAGCTCCACGCGAAGCTCCTCATTATTATCTCGTAGACTTTGGACTTCCCTTCGAATAGTAGGTTCTCCTACTTCTACCGGTAACATTGTGTCCATTCCGTATGTTAAGTTAAAAGGGGTTTCCCCCGTGGTACCGTGCGGCATGCAGCGATACCCCCATAGGACCTCCTGTAGTTCATCTACCCAGAGACCTTTGGCTTCTCCCAGCCTTTTCTTCAACTCCGAGACTATTACCTTGTTGACCGCTTCCACCTGACCGTTCGTTTGAGGATGCTCCACCGAGCTCGTGACATGCTTAATTCCCAAATTTTTGTAGAATTCACCTAAGCCTTTATCAATGAACTGCCGCCCGTTGTCCGTAACTATGACTTTAGGAATCCCAAATCTGCATATGAGCGTCCACATAAACTTTTGAACCCTTGCGGCCGTGATCGTTGCGAGCGGTTCTGCTTCCACCCACTTAGTGAAGTAACCAATTGCCACTAGTAGGAATTTCTTTTGCGCTCGGCCCACAGGAAAGGGTCCGACTATATCTACTCCCCACTACACGAACGGCCACGGTGACACCAAGCTGTGCAATTCGACCGATGGAAGATTAAGGTTCTTGCCATGCTCTTGACATTTCAAGCACTTCTTCACAAATTCTTTGCAGTCTCTCTCAATCGTTGGCCAAAAATAGCCCGCTCGTATGACCTTGGCACGTAACGCTCGCTGCCCTGTATGCATTCCACACGCCCCTCGTGCAACTCCCTCATCACATACTCGGCTTCCTCCGAGGATATGCACTTCAACAGGGGTGAGGAAAATCCTCGTTTATATAGATCTTCCCCTATTAACAAGTACCGAGCGGCCCTCTTCGCCTCAATCGTCCGGACGTCCACACCGCTCTCCTGCCTCTTAATGATTTCTTTGATGTCTTTTCTCCAATCAGGGCGATCGGAGACCTCATGCACTGCCAGAGAATCTACCGAGGGGTTCATCATAACTTGCCTTATGACCGACGACAAGTTATCCTTCCCCTTACCCTTGGCGAGCTTGGATAAGACGTTCGCCCTCGCATTCTGCTCCCTCGGCACATGTTTAAATTCCACCGTCCGGAACTGCTTCACCAACTCCTTTACCTTGTGAAAATAACGAAGCAGCTGATCATCCCTGGTCTGGAAGCTCTCAGTTAGCTGCCCTACCACCAGTTGGGAATCCGTTCGGCATTTGACCGAAACAGCCCCCAAGTCCTTGGCCAGCTCGAGCCCCGCCAGTACTGCTTCGTACTCGGCCTGATTATTGCTTATCTTGAACCGAAAGACAATTGCCTGCTCCACCATAAAGCCGTCCGGTCCTTCCAACACAATTCCTGCTCCGTCACCAGACTTTTCAGAGGAGCCATCCACGTAGAGGATCCATTCATGATGCCCTGCTTCTTCCCAGGGTAACTCGACCGCAAAGTCGGCCAAATGTTGCCCTCGGATCGACCCTCTTGGTTCAAACTGGAGTCCAAATTCAGACAACTCCACAGACCATCCTACAATTCTCCCGGCCAAATCTGGTTTGCGCAGGATTTTCGCGATCGGGTGGTCTGTTCGAACTACCACCTGATAACTCTAGAAGTATGGCCTTAAGCGTTGTGTTGCTATTACAAGAGCCAAAGCGATCTTCTCGACCCGCTTGTACCTGGTCTCAGCGGGTTGCAAAGTTCGACTGACGAAGTATACAAGCTTGAACTCAGGCTGCTCTTGCACCAAAACCGAGCTGACTGTGTCCTCCGAGACCGCCAGGAAGAGTTGTAACGCATGCCCCTCCTCGGGTCGTCCCATAACTGGTGGGCTGACCAATATGCTTTTAACTTCATTAAAAGCTTGTTCGCACTGGTCGTCCCAATCAGCACCCGTACTCTTCTTCATGATTCTCACTATCGGCTTTATCCGCTCGGCTAACTTTGGAATAAAGCGGGATAATGAAGTCAACCTCCCCACCAGTCTCTGAACTTCCTTCAGCTTCTACGGACTTCTCATCTCCAATATCGTTCTGCACTTGTCGGGGTTCACCTCAATTCCTCTAGTTGTCAACAGGAATCCTAGAAATTTTCCCGCCGGCACCCCGAAAGTACACTTGGTCGGATTAAGGCGCATGTTGTACTTGCGAACTTGGTGGAACACTTTCGCCAGGTCTCTCACATGGTCTTCAACCGAGCGGCTCCTCACCACCATATCATCTACATATACCTCCATGCATCTGCCAATCTGGTCAGCAAAGACCCTATCCATCAGCCGTTGGTAAGTTGCTCCTGCGTTCTTCAACCCGAACGGCATAACATCATAGCAGTAATTCGCCCGCTCGGTGATAAACGCTGTCTTATCGCTGTCCGGGGGAAACATGGGGATCTGATTGTATCCTGAATACGCATCCAGGAAACTTAACACCTGGAACCCTGAAGCCCCGTCCACTAACGCATCAATACTCGGTAGTGGGTACGAATCCTTGGGACAGGCTTTATTCAGATCCGTGAAGTCTGTACACATTCTCCACTGCCCGCTCATCTTCTTCACCATCACAACGTTTGCCAGCCAAATTGTGTACTTGATTTCACGGATGAAATCTGCCTCCAACAACTTCTTCACCTCTACTGCTACTGCCGATCGCTTCTCTTCCCCCAATCTTCTCTTCTTTTGGGCCACCGGTCGGGCCTCTTTAAACAATGCCAGTTTGTGCGACATAACTTTTGGGTGGATTCCTGGCATATCAGCTACAGTCCAAGCAAACAAGTCTTGGTTTTTCTGCAACAAAGTGCCAATTAACTTGGCCTAATCCTCCTCCAACTCACTCCCGATGGTCGTCACTTGCTCTTCCTTCTGCCCGAGGCCGAAGGGCTTTGTCTCTCCCATCGGTTCTATCCGATCGTCAGTATTAGTCCTTGGATATAAGTCTGTCATGGCTACCTCCGATCGTCTTCTCCTCTGCCGGCTGGGTCGATCTGATGACGATGGCTGAACCTTTAACCCCGCCATATAACATTCTCGCGCGATCCTCTGATCGGACCGAACGGTACAGATACTTCCACTATCCAGCAGAAACTTAAGCGTAAGATGGGGTGTGGAAACAATTGCCCCAAATGCGTTCAGACATGGTCGTCCTAACAACACATTATAGGAAGTGTTCGCATCCACCAGCAAGAACCTGGTTTTCACCTCCTTGCTCCGCTCGGTTCCCAGGCATGTTCTGAGATCCACATATCCTCTGGTGTCTACTCTCTCCCACGAAAATCCTACTATCTGCTCGTTGTAGGGAGCGATCAGATCTTCGGATATGTCCATCTGTTGGAATGTTTTCCAGTACAAAATGTTAACAGAGCTGCCCTGGTCCACCAACACCTTTCCCACGCTATATCGGGCAATAACTACCGTTATCACCATCGGCTCATCCTCATTTGGATCGGGAGCGTGGAAATCCTCATCCGTAAACGTGATTGGCGGCATAGAGCGCTTTCTCACATCTACCATGTGGACGCTTTTGAGCTCCCTCAGGTTTCTCTTCCTTGCGGATGCCAATGACCCTCCCGCAAATCCACCCGAGATGGTGTTTATCGTTCCCCGCAGCGATCGGTCATGGCTGCGACTTCTACTCCGCCTGCGGTCGGGACGCCTGTCCTCTCTCCTGTCACTTCTCTCCACCCTAGACCTTCTGGGTGGACTTCTCACCTTTCGTTCCTCCTTGACAAATCTCCTTAGATGACCCGCTCGGATCAATTCTTCCACCTTATCCTTCAACACCGTGCAGTCCTCGGTGTTATGCCCTATGTTTAGGTGATAGGTGCAATGTTTAGTTCCATCTGCTTTAGGTGATGACCAGGAAGGTCTCACCTTTATCAAATCGGCATTCAAGGCTTCCTCCAGCACCCTTGCCCTCAGCATATTCAACGGGGTGTACCGTTCGTACCTACCCCCTTCGGGCCATCTCTAAACTTCTGACCCTTCGGTCGTTCGCCTGGAATGAACGGTTTCTTGCTTTCTTTCTTCTCCTGCCCCGAACTCGTGCCTTGCTCTTGCTGTTGTCTCTGGACCGCCCTCATTTCTTCTATTCTAATAAACCGAGCGGCCCTTTCCTGTAACTCGTCCAGGGTTAATGGGGGCTCTACGAACAAGTTGTCGGCAAACGGGGAAGGCCTCAGCGCGGTAGCCAGAGTACTAATGGTAAACTTCTTGCCTACACCCCGTACTTGCCGAGCGGTCCTATTGAACCTGTCCATGAAGTCCCTAAGACTCTCTCCTTTCTCCTGTTTTATGTTTGTTAACTCTAGATACGTCAGATTTCGCGCTCTACCCGCTGAAAACTGTCGTTCGAACATATCTCTCAAGGTGGCAAAATTGTTAATGGTCCGAGGTCTTAACAAGTGGAACCAAGCCAAAGCTTCTCCTTTTATTGACAAAGAAAAAACTCTGCACCACACATTTTCCCTGGGGGAGTAAATGGCCATCACGTCAACAAACGATCTCAAATGCTCCTCCGGGTCCCCTAAGCCATCATACTTTTCCAAAGCCGGAAACGCTCTATCCGGAATCTGCTCCTCCATGATCACTGCTGTGAACGGATGCAACGCTCTGGCCCGACCGGCCGGGGCCGGACGGTTTGCAGTTCGATGCGAGCCGGCCTCACTGTTCCTCTCCCCGATAATGACTATCAGAATTGGGATCTGTGCCCTCTTCCGAGTCGGACTCGGTTTCTGGCATCTCCACAAACGGCGGTACCTGAGCGCGTGCAAAAGCTAGACGATTAGCTTGCGCCCCTCCGGCCGCATCACACTCGGCCCTAAGGGTTTCAATTTCTGCCTGCATTGCTTCCATTCGCCTCCTCATCTCCTGTAACAAAGCTGCCGGGTCCTGCTCCATCCTTATGATCGTAAAGGTTGTCTTCAACTACCCTCGGCCCCACGGTGGGTGCCAAAATGTTTCTGCTGAATGGGACCCGGGAAAGTTCCTGCTACCTCCATCCGGAAACACTCCTCTTTCTCCAATCGGTCCTCACACCAATGGGTTGACCTGCAGCAAACACTCCGACGCTCAAGTCAGAATGGGCTCTTGCAAGTCTATATTTATCAAATGAACAGAGAGTTTACCTTCTCCTTTGACTGCTATTTATATGATTTCAGAGAATATTTCCCATTAATTTACCTTTTAATGGCTTTCAATGCACACTTTAAATACTCGACAATGACCGTTACCTCATTAACTACACATTCATGAGCATTCAACTGCTGTCTCCAGTCCACAATTTCATACATCTGCCCGATCGGACACGTTGAGCTTAACATGTCCGATCGGACTTATCAGGCCAGAACACCCGATCAAACATATCAGCCTTGCTTCCACCCGCTCGACCTTATCCAAACCTTCCCGGTCGGTTGCCCGTCCTCGATAGTATCAGATGTTATTACATCTTTGAGAATATGTTTTTACCATCAAGGCATTTGATTTTTTTGAAGTTGATTACTTCACTAATTGATCTTAATCTTTGGATATTCATTCAAACTTTTGTGCTTTATTTGACACCTTGTGAGATGTGTTTCAGTAGGTTTCATTTCAAACTCTTGTGTAATCCTACCACGTACGTAAAGTCATCCAAACTTTATGTTCTTTCAAAGGAGGAGCATGCATCTTGATGTACCACAAATTATATTTGTTTTTTCATGTTAACTTCTCAATCTTGGTTGTCTTTGACCATTTTCTTGACCACCTTTCTAAACTTTGAAAGAAAAGAAATAAATAAAACGAACTAATCTTCATCAAGGATCAACCATCTACATATGCAAAATGGAATAGAATCGAAAATCTAACACTCATTTATTGGGTATCCAACCAAGAAAGTCACATAAAAACGAGGAAAGAAACTTGACAAACTAGTGAATGTTGAGCATAAATGTATGAGGAAAGATCCAAAGATACAATGTGACGAGAATAATGAAAAGAAACGATATATTTGTAAACTTGTTCTTGATAAACATATGCAAGAACAAAATACAGTTATTACACAAATTGTATAGATAGAACACGCTTCAAATAAAAGAATAAATTATAGAGGTGAATTATACGAATTATAAAGTATGTATTAATCTAACTCTCAAAATATTCATGAGGCTAGATTATATGTAGAATAATTATAACGTGACTAAGTATATTACAAAATAATAGAAAGCCTAACTAAATAAATCGAGTATGTCTAATAATAATAAAGATCATATGTTAAGGCTTGAAATGAAAGAGACAAGCTTTGTAAGTAGTCTATTAGATGCTCAACAAGACACATGTCATTCTAATGCAGATGGCACACAATCTCAACAATTACTTTCAATATGGCAACAACATTTGCTTTAATATAAACATATACATTTTATGATCACATACTATGAATATAATTTGCTCTTGTTTTATTAATATAATGGTTTAACTATTTAAACTCAAATATTGCCAATGCAAAGTTAGCATATAATATTAGTGTAATCAACTCGACTTGTAAAACTTACTCTCTTAAAAAATATAAAATGCTTGGAGCTTGTATCATTTACCATCACAATTTGATATAATGTTTTTTAATAAAATCAAATAACCAAGTGACTAAATAAATCACGAAAAGCAAATTTCATTCTAACACAACTAATATTAAAAAAAAGTGAAAATTGCTGAACTAGTATGTTTGTCTTTAAATAATGTTTATATGGTATTCATAAGAAACTATTTATAAGAAAATTCAACAAGACTAACTCTCTAAATAGCTCACATTACACTATTTTATCAAATTATATTATCTCCACATATTGTAGAAAATGTTTTCTTCAATTTCATACATGTAAAAAAGGAACATACAAAATGAAACTTTATAACAAGATAAAGTACCATTCAAATTTATCCATTTATCTTTCGAAGTCATCAAAGTATTGACTCGTGTATTCTCACAAAGGATCTAATGGAGAAAAACCAACTTTTTATTATAGTGTTTTCAACTAATGTTTTCAATACAAGAAAAAAAAAACATGTTCAAAACGAGATGTATTATAAATCATAACAAGTTTAATATAGTAGATATCATGTTAACCAAAAGGCTACCAACTTTTGCTACATAAACTAAAAGATCAATACACTAGTGCAAAAACAGCGTATAACGTCACGCGTTCAACATTGAACCACTCAATAACCAACGTTAAAAATGACCGATAACATTTTTGTAAATAAATGCAATTATTAAACGTCGTTTGGAACTGTAATTCGACGTAAAAGGATATAAAACGTCGAATGCCCCAGCGTTAGACGTTAAAAGGTTAGTGAATTCAATAAAAATTTGAGCCGAAGATTGAAAATTCATTCACTTTATCTTAGCGCGCGAGACCCTCTTCTCTGCTCAATTTTTTCTCGAACGAAGTTTGATGACCATCAGATATAATCTTTCTTTCATTTTATACAAATGCATGTTAATTTACTACTTTATTTATGATTTTCATTTGTTTTAACCGATTATTTTCGTGTTCTTGTCCTTCATAGGCGCATTTTGCTTTCTCTCTCACTTGTGGCAACACTTTATTCCGATGAACTAAGGTTAGTTTTCGTTTTGAAGAACTTATTTGTTGTTATTTTTTGTTGAACTTGTTTCACTACAATAAAAGTACGTATCAGCGAAGGCTTATTACCGAGGGGCTTTGCCCTACGCTAATGCCTGCGATGTTTTAAGTTCAAAAATTTGAGTATTTGTTGCTCAAATTCCCCAAATTTCTCAAAAGCAGAACTATCTCCCTTATTCGTTGAACTCACTCTTGGCTTAGGGTTGCAACTTTGGTGGCAATCAGCCGGTTCGACGCTGCGGTTTGACGGCACGAGTTTGGTGGTGTAGACGCTGACGGAGGTTCGTTGCTGGGTGGCGCTCTTCCATTCCCTACTCTCTGTTTGAAGCGGTTCGTTGGTTTGAAGCTTGACGTTCTCGCCCTAAGGCAGTTTGAAGCGGTTGCTGTTGTGGACGCTGACGACGGTTCGTTGGTGGTTGGTTTGTGGCTAGGTTCGTGTTTTGATCCTTGTGAGTGTTGCGACAGTAATGGGGGTTGTTGGAGGTTGGCGTGTCGAGGGCGTTGCAGTGAAGTGGTGTTGGTTTGGCGACTTAGTTTGGGGTTGGGTGGTCGATGTTGTTGTCGGAGATGTCAAGGCGGAGAAGGAGGCGACGGGAGGATATTTGCTGCGGAATCTCGCCAGAGAAGTCATTGTGGGAGAGATAGAGGAGTTTGAGCGATTTTCGTGGAGGTCGAGGAAGCAGAGGTACACTAGTGGGGAGAGAGAATCAATTGGACCACGGAGGTTGAGGGAAGGGAGGAAGAGGCCCACCACTCTGCCGCTTGGGTTCCCTTCTCATATGTCTCCTTTTATGGATTCATTCGAAGCTTCGAATGATTTGTTTCACTCGTATTTTTTTTTGTTTGGATCTTTCTGTTATTTGAATCTTAGGGTTCCTCTCCTTATGATTATTATCCTTGATTGGATGCTTATGATCATCTGTAAAGCTCAAATTTTTATATGATCGATGTACTTGTGGCTGATTTACTTAAGTAGGTTACAACATCCGGAGGCAGTTCGCCTTTGTGGATTGCGACATTCTTTGTTCCCTTTGGATGATAGTTTTTGGATTTTTCATGGATGTTTTTTTATTAAAAGATGGTGTGGGATTCGTTCTCGTGTTTTCCTCTGTTATTTGATATCTTGATTTTGTTTGGTACTTTTTTTTCTTCTCTTTTTAATTCTTGGATGACATTTGGTTGGAGTTTTCTGTATTCCACTACTTTAAGGAAATTTATGCAACCTCGTTGTAGCTAAATGTTTCAAGGTCATATGTTCCTTGTCTATACAATTTTAACCCATTCTGATGAAAGGTAACTTATTCTGCTTCTATGAGGGAAGTTTAGTTTCTTTCTGATGACATTACCACTCTTGTGTCACTAGATGAATAATTTCTTGCAAAGTATTCTTGAATTTGTTATTCCTTAAGAAGATTTGTGTGTTACAGTTGGCCTAATATGCTGTTGTATGCTATGTTAATTTAGGGTTTTTGGTTTTGTAGTTTTAATTGAGCTTTGTGCATTTGTTGATTCTTTGGGTTATGCTCTTAGTTTTAAGGCTTACTTTTTCATGGGTTAATTGGTTTATGTTTATTTTGTCCAGGTTATGCTACTGATTCTAAAGAAAACAGCCTTATTCATGAAATTCCTGCAACTGTTGCGGCTGTTAAAAATCCTTCTTCTAAAAGTATATATGATGAACACAACCACGAGCGATTTGCTCATGGTGATCCAATCAAAAGGGCATTTGCCTACTTTGTCCTAACTGGTGTAACATCCCAAAATACAGTAATCACCATATAATAGAATTAATTACATTAAACAGTTAAGCAATGCAGTCTTACGCTAAAATTGAGGTCCAAAAGCCGAACGGCTTAAAGTACAGGACTAAATACATATTACAGATGTATTGAAAATTCAGAACGAACGGTTTTACAAAAATCAATAACCGAACGTCAAAACTAAAAACAACTAACTATCAACTA